GCGGAACCGGGGACTGAACTCAGGCCTTTGCACTTGCCAGGCAGGCGCTTATTCCACTGAGCCATCTCCCCAGTACCTGGGACCACAGTTTCCGGGGCTTGTGACAACAGTGGCCTCGCGGCTTCTTTCCTCTTTCAGTTGGAAGGCAGACACGGTTCCTGTCACTCCTCCAGGCTGCCATGATGGGCTTTAGGGCCAAAGCACAGCAGGGATGCTGCAGGTGAAATCCAGGCTGGAGGTAGTGAGACAGCAGGAGGCGAGGACACAGAGGACAGGACCCTGGAGTGCAGCCTCAGGAGTGTATTCCAGAGGAGCGTGACATGATCCCCTTAATTTGTGTGGTTTGACGTGCGTGATTTTTTAAAATGTATTATTATGAAGTTTTGGGAGTTTGGGGGTTGAACCTAGGGCCTGCACACTGAAATACATTCCAAGCATTTTTAAAAATTATTTTAGTTTGAGCCAGGGAGATGGCTCAGTAGAATAAGCACTTCCTTGGCAAGCGCTAGGACCTGAGTTCAATCCCCTGGTTCTAAAAGAAAAAAAAAAAAAAAAACTATTTTAAGACTAGTCTCCCTAAGTTTCCAAGTAGTCCAAGTTAGCCTTGAACTTTTTTTTTGGCAGAACTGGGGATTGAACTCAGGCCCTTGCACTTGCCAGGGAAGCACTTATTCCACTGAGCCATCTCCCCAGTCCCTGGCCTTGAACTTTTGATCCTTCTGCCTTGTCCTTACAGAATGCTGAGATGACAGGCATGTATTATCATGCTTGGTTAAGTCTATACTCTTGATGATTTTCACCAGTACAATTTTTTTCAGAGCACAGCCCCACCCCCCACTGACCCTCCCCGACCTCGGTCTATGCGAGTCCAGCACTGCAGAGACACTGGTGACAAGATCCTTTCTCCACGCCCCTTTCCCAGCCTCCCTGCCCAGGCCCGGCCCCCAGCTCTATTTTTAGACACACCAGACAGGGACTCCCGGGATCTGCTGGAGCCTAAGATGTAATCAGAGCCTCCCTAGAGCTCCAGTGGGAGAGTTGGGGGGGGAGGGGGTACGGACCTCCCTGGCATCTGGAGGCTGAACGGGGGCTGCTCTGTGTCCCTGTAACTCAGCCAGACTGCCTCAGACTGAAAAGTGGGATGGGCGAGATGGGTCCCTGTTCTGCCTGTTCTTGGGGTGTGCTGACTGCCCCTGCTTCCAGCCACACACAGAGGGGCCACATCCAGGCCTGCTCACTGCTAATAACTAGAGATGTTAAAAGTCAGGAGTCAGGTGGCGCACAGCTATGATCGCAGCGCTACAGAGAACGAGGTAAGAGGATGGTCAAGAGATCCAGGCCAGCCTGGACTACACAGTGAGACCCTGTCTCAAAAACAAAAACAAGAGGCCAGGGAGATAGTTCAGTAGAATAAGTGCTTGCCTGGCAAGTGTAAGGGCCTGAGTTCAATCCCTGGTTGCGCAAAAACAAACAAAAACAAAAACCAAATAAAAAGTAGTCCTAACTGAGTGCACCTCAGCGGTATAGTGCTTGCCTACCAAGTGTGAGGCCCTGGGTTTAATCCCCAGCGCCAATAAATAAGCAAAAATCATATAACAATCAGAGTAAAACTCACGAGTGTGTACAATCTTACTCACGTGTACATATATGGCTTAGTGACACTGAGCACAGCCACATAACCATCCCCAGGCCGGCCTTCCATTGTTCTGTTCACTGTCTCTATGGATTCCACTACTGTAGAAACTCCAGACAAGCAGAATCATTCAGTATTTGTCTTTGTAGTTGGCATGTTTCACATAGCAGAAGGTCCTCAGGGTCACCCATACAACAGCTTGTGTCTCAGCCTCCATCCTTTTTAAGGCTAGATAATACCCTTCTATGTGTGTGTGCCATGTGGTGTTGATCCACAGGTATTAAGACAGGACCTCACTACATAGTCCAGGCTAGCCTCAATTTTGCAGCAATCCTCCTGCCTCAGCCTCCTGAATGATAGTATAACAGGCATGCAGCACCATGCCCAGCTATTTCTGCCTCTTGGCTCTTAAGAATGACTGTGTCGTGAGCATGGGTGTCCAAGTGTCTCTTTTTTTTTTCTTTCCTCTTTTTTTGGGAAGCGTCTACAGGGTGTTCAGGGTCTCACTACTAGATTGGATTCATAGTGATTCTCCTGCCTACAGCCTCTCAAGAGCTGGGATTATGGATACGCATTACCACGCCCAGTCTCAATTGCCATCTCAGTGCACCTCGGGGATGGGGCCAGCATGGCAGGCCTGGGGATCAAACCCTTGGCCTCTGCCCCTGTTTGTAGGCTCTTTAATCCGCTATTTGAACAGCCCCAAAGTGTCTCTTAAAATTTGTTGAGTGCAGACCTAGAAGTGCAATTGCTGAATCATATGGTAATTCATTTTAATGTCTGGGGAAAAACACCATGCTATTTTCCTTAGGAAAATCAGAAATTTTTGAAAAAAACAATTGCCAACATTCTTAAGCCCTTGGGTTTGGGGCTTCTGTCAACAGGAACAGTCTGATGTCACTGGCCCTGTGTTTATGAAACCAGACTCTCTTCCAGGCCCCTGGAGGCACTGGCCCATCCCAGTGCCAGATGCTAGGACCCCTTTGTTTGCCTCCCAAGTCTGAAGACTCCAAGGCCAGGTTGAAAGCAGGAGCTGAGGTTGCTTGGCTGCAACCACTGAGAGCCCATTGCCAGCTGGGTGTGGTAGCCGTGCCGGGACTCAGCACTCTCAGAGGTTGAGGCAGGAGGATCGAAAGGTTGATCCCAGTCTGCGCAAGTTAGTGACTTTGTGAATCCTTGTCTTAAAAAAAAGTGTTCAGAAAGGACTGGGATGGAGCTCAGTATGAAGTTCCAGGGTTCCATCCCCAGTATTCTCCCCCAGTGGCCTGCCCAATGGACTCAGGTAGTCACTGAACCTCTTTGGGCCTGTTTTTCCACCTCCAAAGTGAGAGAATTCACCCATCTCAGGGACATGAGAATGAAAGCAAATGACCTCTATGGCTGTGTAGACCACATGGACACTTGAGAAAGTGCTACACCAAGTCTCAGTAGAGACCCCCACTTTCCCACAGATTCATGAGTTCTTGTTTCTTCAATCATTGTTCATACTCCCATTCCAGCCCCCTTCCTTTGTGTTCTCTCATTTGTCATTGTTGCCCTTGGTGTGTAAGTCTAGAACTGAACACATTCTCTTGGCATGACCTGGCCAGTGTAAGGTATGGCCTATTGCTACCCCCTTCACTCCAGACTGCATACCTTCATTAATGGAACCCAGATAGGCAGTGTATTTTGTTTTGTGATCTTATGTTATGTATTCATTGTAAAATGTCTCTAAAAGAAAGAGGACTCTGAGGTCCAAAGCAGCACAAGGTACACCACTCAAGCAGGCTGGAGCTCTTCACACATTTGCAAACTTTTTCCGTCTTCCCTTTTATTCCATGTAAAATACAAACCCACAGGAGAGCAGGTCTTCCCACAGTATGCCGGCCTGCATTGTCAGTCATCTCCAGACACACTCACAGACATACCCAGAGCCATTTTTATTTATTAATTTTTGAGACAAGGTCTCACCATGTAGTTCAGACTGACCTTGAACTATATAGTCCAGGCTGGCCTCAAACTCAGAGCAATCTTCCTGCTTTACCTTCTTAAGTATTGGGATTACAGGTGCATACCACCATGCTTGGCTTCACAACCATACTAATCTGCTAGGCATTTCTCACTCTGGGCAAATCTTTTTTTATTTTGGATGAACAGCCTCAGGACAGCTCTAATCTCATCAAAGGATCCATTCATTGGTGAGTCAGTAGATGAATAGGCTAAGGAGGTGGGGCCCAGCTGGAGAAAGCATGTCACATGATTTTGAAGGACATTTCTTTTCTGGCTGTCATGAAGTGAGCAGCTTTCCTCCACCTGCTTTTCTCCCATTCTGTTCCTGCCTTGCAGCCAAGCTGGATGTGGACTGACCCCTCTAAACCATGAGCCCAAATAAACTTCTCTTCCTTTAGATTGCATATGTCAGGGATTTTGGCCCAGCAACCAAAAGCCAACTCACATACCTTATCTTTTTTTTTTTTTTTTTTTTTTTTTTTTTTTTGGCAGAACCGGGGATTGAACTCAGACCCCTGCGCTTGCCAGGCAAGTGTTTATTCTACTGAGCCATCTCCTTGGCCCCCCCCACACCTTATCTTGATCTTTTGATGTTTGTTGAACTGATAGTACTAATAGCCCAGATCTTTTTGACAAAAATGTTCACAGATTCCATTCTCCTATCCTACGCCTGTGTGTGAAGGCTTAGATCTAAAGTGAGGCACTGAGCCTTTAATCTACTCTTATTCTTTATCCAGTAGGATAAGTGCCCACCCTACCTGATAGTTAAAGAAGGCCTCAACTGTGTTTTCATGTTGAAGGAAACTAAAAGAATGTGTAGCTGACTCTTCAGAATTGGGGAGAGAATATTTATTCACATCTTGATGAAGTCTGGAGTGACAGGGCTGTCACTGGCTGGCAAGGCTGCAAGAAGAATCTCAAATGCTATGGCTTTTGAGAATATATATATATCTTTTTTTTAAATGTATTGAATAGGGTCTACAGGGTCTCACTACACAGATCAGACTTGTAGTAATCCTCCTGTTTTCAGCCTCCCAAGTACTGGGATTATAGGTGTGTACCATCACGCCTAGTCTTACATCTTATCTGCATCAGGTTCATCTCCAATCTGGGGTGCCTGCATCAGGGCAGTGACTTGTCTGTCACAGTGTGACTCTGTAGGACCTGAGGGCTCCCAACACAGCTGAGGACTAGGAAGAAGCCAGGAGCCTAGAGAGATCTCATTTCCGGGCCCTGGTGGTGGCAGCAGGTTTAACCCTTCCTGCTGCTCCAGGTGTGCAGGGCCAGTCCTACCCGCCTCTGTCTCAACATCAGGACCCCAATTCGGTGCTGCCAGATGGGTACCCAGCTCAGTCTCTGCCAACAGTCACACCACAGGAAGGGGAAGGAGCACTCTTTATTGCTTGGCTCAGCCTCCCCCATGTCATCCAAATGTCACAGTCCTTGTGGCCTCTGGGAGGCGGTGATCAAACCCTGGGTGGTATAGCTGCCACCCAAAAGAGGCCTCAGTCCGTCTTCCTGAACCCTGGAAGAAGTGCAGAGTAGCCAGGTTGAAGGCAGCCAGGATGTCCCCACCGCCACCCCAGACACCCAGAGCCCACAGTGTGGGCAGGGCAGGCTTATTCCTGCAGCTACCATGAGTCTCCACAACCCCCAGCTACAGTGACGAATGTCTTTTTAATTAAAGGAGACAGATACTTCTCCAGCATGGAGTCACAGTGCCCTGGCTCCTCTGGTCTGAGTCATGGGTGAACAGGAGCTGCTACTGGGCAAGAAGGAACTGCTTTTTTTCCTCTATCTAAAGTGCTGAACTACTCAGCCACATCTATAACCTTCTTCTCATTCTATTTTGAGACAGGGTCTTGCTAAGTTGCTAGCCTCAAACTTGTGACCTCTGTCCCAGAGTAGCTGGGATCTTAGGCATGCACTGCACACACCCAGCTAAAAGAAAATCTATTCTAGACCAGGCCAGCCAATCTAGCTGTGTGACCCCAGGCAAGTTGCTACAGCTTTCTGAGCTTCAATGTCCTCACCAGAGAAACTGGTAAGGCCACCTTCCTGGAGCCATCAGGCAAACACTGCTGTTGGGAAGACTGTGCTAGGGAAGGAGCCTTCTGTGAGTGACTGAGCGAAATGCCTTCACTTTCCTCAGCATGTGGAACACAAGCCCTCCTACTTGTCAAGGCCTCACTTGGCCAGTGCACGCCCTGTGTACTGGAAAGGATTACATCGGTTATCCAAGGCACAAATCAGGAGACTCAGAGAAGTAATGAGAGGGCTGAATTCCCACCCAGCACTGCAAAACAAAACAAAATAAAACGCCTGCCTCTGGGATATTCCCTACATGTTAAACCTCTTCCAAAACAGAAGAGGGGGAGAGGGGTGCACATGCCAGTAATCCCAGCCCTCAGGAGGCCCAGGCAGGAGAACTGCTACTAGTTTGAGGCCAGCCTAGACTACATAACAAAACCTTCTCTCAAAAAACAAAATGAAACACCAGAAACCCCTCTGGGTATTGTGGCACATGCCTGTAATCCCAGCATTTAGGAGCTTGAGGGTCAGGAGTACAAGGCCAACCTGGGCGACATATTGAGACCGTCTCAGACCCCACCCTCCAAAACTCCAGTTCAGCAGCAGGAGCACAGTAAGCTCGGAATGTGAAAGTTACCCAATTGCCTGATCTTCTGGAAGAGCGGGAGGAAGCCGCGCAGCACGCTGTGGATTCGGTACACTACAGAGACAAAGGGGACAAAGTCACGTTGTGTCCCCTCCACCCACAGCCACTCCAGGCAAGGGCCCAGCCCACATAGCACAGCTCCATGGTGGGGCTGTATGCTGCGCTCAGGAAACGTAGCCAAGGTTAGGACCACGAAAACAGCAGAGGCCACAGCCCTGCGAACTCAGCCCCGGCTCCACTGCCCGCTTCGGCCATCTGCCGACGTGTGCTGTTCACGTTCAACTGTTGCCACCTAATTTTTAGGGAACTGCCCATTTTTTTCCACGAGGTTCTGCAAGTGACCTCACCCTGATCTTGCGAGCGATCAGGAAGAAAATGCGGCACAAGCGCAGGAGATACTAGGTCCTGAGTTTGATTCTGAGTACGAAGAAAAAAAAAAACAAAAAAAACAAAAAAAAAAACCCACCAAAAGTCCCAAAACAAAAAACAAGGGCATAGGAAATGTAAACAAGAGTCGCACCGCCCGAGGCGGGAACTCACCCAGACCGAAGTAAATGCCCACAGTCTCCAGCGAGGCGAAGGTGAGCAGGCCGACGCCCAGCGACATGAACCAATCTGCGGACAGCGAGGGAGGGCTCAGCCCAAAGTGGCTCCACCCCTCCCGGCTATCGCCCCGCCCAACAGAGTGACCACCCACCGCCCCGCCCCTGCCTCGCTCAGCGCCTGTCTGGCCCCGCTGCCCACACGCCCCGCCTGGGCCTGCGAGAGCCGTCACCCCGCCCTACCGCCGATCCCCTGCACAGCCAGTAGATGTACCTCACCTGCATAGTAGTGGTAGCTCACCAGCAAGGCCCCGATCCCGAAGCACAGCAGCACAAAGTGGAAGAACTCATCTGCCAAGGCAGAGGCAGCAGCATTACTGTTCGCCTCTTCTCTTCCTGTCTCTCGTGTGCTAAGCGTGTATGCGTGGGGGCTGGACATCAAGGCCTAGCCTGCGCTGGCCACGAGCTCTACCACTCTGCCACGTCCAAGAACTGGCTCATTTTTTGTGTTGTTTTGAGAGAAAGGCTGGCAATGTTGCCAGGCTAGCCTCAAAATCCTGAGCTCAATGGATCCTCCGTCCTCAGCCTCCCCACTAGCTGGGACTATGGGCAGCTTTCTTGTTTGTCCATGACAAAGGTTCTGCTCCAATGGAAAAATTCCGAGACACCACTCCTGCTCCTGACCAGCCAAACTAAAACATGTTGGGCGTGGTGGTGCATGCCTGTCATCTCAGCATTCAGGAGGCTGAGGCAGAAGGATCACCATGAGTTAGAGGCCAGGCTGAGCTACAAAGTGAGTTCAAGGTTAGCCCGGACTACAGAGCTAGAACAGGTCTCAAACAACCAAAATTAAATAAATAAAACAGGCCCAAGACCATGCCTTCCCAGCCCTTACTCCTGGTGTTACTTTTATTGCACACGTTGCCATCCAGTTTTTGTGTTCTCAGTCCCCTTCTGCCCCACCCAGCTTTGGTCAGCTCCACAGTGAACAGGAGCTTAGTGAGCCACCTTTCCCAGGGTCCTTTGGCACAGAGGGCAGCCCCGGCAGGCCCAGGGGCTCCATACTTTGTTGAATGTTAAAATAATGGTGTTACGTTATGTGCATGGATGTCCTCCCCCACCCCCAAAGCCTCAAGCAGTCCTGGGGGGGACTTCTAGAGTTTGTAATTAACTCATGATCTGCTGGGATAATGAGTGTGAATGCTACGCTTGCCCTGGGGGGGGGGGAACTGCTTGAGCTGCTGCTACATTTTGCATTTTGCTCTCTTGCTCTCTGTTGTTGCCATGAAAGTTTGCTCTCTGCCATGTGCCACTCTGCTTTGGAGCCAGCTGAGTATGGACTGAAACCTCCAGTAACTGTGTGCGAAATAAACCTTTCCTTCCTTCATTTTGAGTGTCAGGTATTTGTCCCAGCAAGGAGAGAAGAGTAACTAAGACAAATGATAAGAAATGCAAGTTGGCTAGGGAAAAGTTGCTATGGTCCCAGGGGTGTACAGGAGCTAAGAGGTGGAGCCTGTTTCCCACAGGACCCTAGGGCACCTGTGATAGAGCAGAGGCCCTTGCATTTTGCCAGGCACATGGGGGGCACTTGGGAGGGAACACAACCCTCATGCTTTCTCTTGGCTTTAACAAGGGAGTTTCAGAGGCTGTGTGCATATTTACTTGGTAGTATTGGGGATTGAATCCAGGGCCTTCACACTGAGCTCCATCCCAAGCTCTGTTTAGTTTTTATTTTGAAGCACCATCTTGCTAAGACTCTGAGCTGCCCAAGTCAGGCTTGACTTTTGGATCCTCCTGCCTCAGCCTCCCAGAATACTGGAACTTTAGGTATGAGCCACTTTGCCCAGTGCAAAGATTTTTCAAAGAAAGGGTTGTTGGGGGCAGCTCAGTGGAAGACTACTTGCCTAGCATGCAAGAGCCCCTGGGTTCCATCCCTACCACCACAACAAAAACCAGCAGAGAGGAAAAAGCCAGGGCAGTCTAGAGAAGGTTGTGTGGAACAAGGCAGAGTTGTAGGCATAGCCGCCCCCTGCTGTGAGGCTCCTACCACTTCCTGACCTCTCAGCCTCAGCGCCAGGGCACTGTGAGCAATATGGGGTTCTGTGAGAGACAGGTGTCCCCTGACAAGCTGTGGTCTTGGCTGTGGTGCTGTTCCATGTGAATACTGATCTGGCACTTGGGAGGCCCTGAACTTATCCCCAGCACCTTGTACATAAATAAAGCCCACTGTCACTCAAGTGACTTCACACAGCACGAAAAGAGCCCCAGACCAGGGCTGGAGGCCAGGCTATACCTGCTGCTTATTAATAGTGAGGCTGGCCTGATACCTCAAGCCCATTTCCACATCTAGAAGTGGGTGTTGCCACTCCACCTCCCCTCAGGTTCAGAGCAGAGAGGTCATGAGACTGTTGTAGGCATTGCCTCAACCCCCAGCATCATGGACAGCCAGGTGGGTGTGGCTCCAGATGTGTTTCTTACCGTCCTTCTTTATGTTCAGCCTGCTTAGCTGCGAGCCATCCACATCTCCTTGGGAACAAGCAAGATACAACATTTCACTTGAACACAAACAACAAACACAGAAACAAACAAAAAATCTGCCAGTTGTAGTGGTGCCTGCTTGTAATCCCAGCACTCAGGAGGCTGAGGCAGGAGTTTCATTCTGGGTGTAAGGGCAGCCTGGGTTGCATAGTGAGGTCAAGGCCAACCTATCTCAAAATACCAGAAGAACAAAACAAGAGAGCAGGTAGGAGTTTCTTGTCCCTGGAGGCTTTTGGGATTGGGATGCTTGTTGCATGGGCCTTATAGTCAAAGTCCGATGAGCCAAGTCTGTCGGATCCCATTTCAGTGACAGCATCTGGCTCAGTGTCTCTGCTGGGATGAACCCACCCTCTCAGGCCCTGTGGTCCCCAGGACCAAGGCAGCCCCTCTTCTCCCCAACAGCCTGTACCTTCTGTGGAGCCTATGTCTCTCTGTTGGAGTCCTGGAAACAAAAATTCATTGTCAGTGCCTGGGCAGCATGGGGTCCTGGACCACTGCCCCTCTCACTTGGGGGAAGCCACAGGTGATTTAGGTAAACATCCTCTAGGGATGATCTGCCTGGCCTCTATCATCCCCTTACCCTCCCATTCCCACCTCCTGCTGCAGCCCAGCCTGTCCACCTGGAGCTAGCCAGGGGATGCCCAGTGTCCCTTGAATTCACCATCACAGTGGCGCCTTTGCCAGGGCTGGCTGGTAGGTCACCTTCAGCCACAATTCTTGGCCCCTGCCTGCTTACTCACCTGCTTCCCCAGATGGTACCACCTCTCTTGAGCCATCTGCAGGGAAAGAAACCAGCAGTCACAAGGGCATGTCCTGGGACAGGCAGAAGGCAAGGGGTGGACACAGTTCCTGCCCAAGGACTTATGCAAGGACCAGGTAGGGACAGAAGGGGGGATTCAGCTAAAGGGGCAGCCACCACCTGCCAGCTACCTAAAGCTGCTGTAAGGACATTAGATGGGTCTTACAGGTCTACTTTCCAGGAAAAGCCAAATTTACCATAAACTTCCCATTTTATTGATTTTATTTATTTGTTGGTTGGTTAGTTTTTGGGTTGGTTGGTTTTTTTTTTTTTTTTGTTGTTGTTGTTTTTTTTGTTTTTGTTTTGAGACAGGATTTCACTATGTGGCCCAGGCTGTCCTTGAACTTACTGTGTAGCCCAAGCTCGCCTTGAACTCATGGTGATCCTCCTGCCTCAGCTCCTCAGTGCTGGGACTATAGACATGTGCCAGCACACTGGGTTTAAACATCCCCATTTCAAAGACTGGCAACTCTTATACAGTCACTCTACACCCCACTAGGTGTTGGTTCCATGACCCAACTGTGTGTATATTTAAGCCCTTATATGGTGAATTGAGGTAGTATTTGCATATACCCTATGCATATCTTCTAGTATACTTTCAACCATTTCCAGAAGACATATAACATCTAATATAAGATTAGTGTGATGTAATATTTGTTATACTATAAGAAGTCTGCATATATTCAGTATCTCTTTTTTGTATGTGTGGTATTGGGGACTGAACCCAGGGCCTTCATGCTGAGCTATATCCTTGAACACACACGTACACATTTTTATTAATTTTAGAGCAGAATCTTGCTAAGTTACTAAACTCAGCTGGTCTGGAACACTCCTGCCTCAGCTGCCCAGCACTCAGAGTGCTGGTACTGGGGCTGAAATCAATTCTTGGCATCAAAACAGACAAGCAAACAAATTTTACAGAACAAAGCTGGGATAACAGGTGTTCCCACCACATCTGACTTTTTAAATATATATTTTTTTAAATTTTAGATTGAATTTCAAATGCAGAGCCTGAGGATGTCAAAGGCCTCCTACACCTACTTACTGAGGAAGTTTCCTTTTTTTTTTTTTTTTTTAATGTATTTGGTACAGGCACTCATTATGCAGCTCCGACTCACAGTGATCCTGCTGTTTTCAGACTTCCCAGTGCTGGGATTACAGGCACGCCACCATGTCTGGTCTCAGTGGCCAGCTTAGCACACCTGGGGGCAGGGCTGATGTAGCATGTAGTGCCGGAGATCAAACCCAGGTCCCTTCATTTGCTTAAGCAGGCGCTTAGTTCACTGAACTATCTCGCCAGCCCAGTGAGGAGGTTTCATAGGTTGGGTTGGACACTTTTTCATGTGTTTCTGCATAGGGAAAACCCCAGCCAACGCTGGAAGTGGTACCCTGATTGGAAAGGTGTGCAGACTAAAAAGGTAAGAGCTATAGAACTGATAAACGATATTAACCTCTTTCTTCTTCTGACGTTTCTCGGAGTTGTACCCAGGGCCTCAGGGGTGCTAATTCTGGCTCTACTCCTGAGCTACAGCCCAAAGTAAGAATAGAAAACTAACAGGGATGGCACTATGGCCTGCAGGAGAGGAGGTGCCTACTGCACATGCTGCGAAGTGGGGCGGGCCAGGTAACAAGGCTTCCGGCCAGCCTGGTGCAGTCCAGTGACTGGATCCTCTCTCCTCAGCCCCTCCAATGCTCAGGGCTTGCAGGCCTTGCTCTATCCCCACCTGTCTTTCGGGCAGGAAAGGTCACAAGCACCACAAGGGGGCGCTCAGTGCGACACGGAGGGACATCATTTACAAAGGGACCTCAGGGCCAGCGCTGAGTCCGCAGGGAAAACAGGAGTGATGGAACCCCTCGGAAGTCTCTGGGAGGAACAAATAGTTCACAGATAGGTGACACACAAGCTGTCTGGGAGGCTGAGGCAGGAGGATTGCAAGTTCCAGCCCACCCTGAGCAATTTAACACCTTAGGGAGACTTGTCTCAAAATGAAAAAATAAACAGGAAAGGCTAGGGATATAACTCAGTGTGAATGCCCTGGGTTTAATCCCTAGTAGTGAAAACTCAAACAACCAATAAAACAAATAGGTGAATATAAATCACTTTTATGAGAAAAAATTTTAATATACCCATAAATATAACAGCTCCTCTAATTTTACATTCACAAACAGGTGATATGCCAGCAGTCTGGGAGACTGAGGTGTGACCCATCAAGGTCAACCCACAAGTCAAAGTTATAGCTCAAGCCAAGAGGAGGACCTCCAGCTGCCATTGTCCCCCGCAACCCCAGCTCCCTGTACTCCCAAGCCACCAGATGACCTGTTACCTGCATAGAGCTGCAACGCGTCCTCTGCCATGCAGGTAGTCCCTTGCTCAGCCTCTGAGAAAACAAACCCTCTGGTGAGAGCCCCCGGGCGATGTCCCTGCTGTGCCCACCTCCAGAGGGCTAAGCCAGGCAGGGACACAGGCCTGGGTTGGCAGGGGCACAGAGACCTTGTGAGGGCCTTCCTTGTCACTGTCCCACCCCTCTCAGCCCCTCCTGAGGAGACAGTGTCCCAGTGAAGGAGAAAGAACTGGGTGTCTGAGAGGACCTGGCCCTGCTTAGGACAACCACTGCCAATGAGCACCTAGTACGCTCCACAGTGTGCAAGTGATTCATATTTACTGTTCCATGTGAGCCACATGGAAACCCCATGAAGAAAATCTTAGCACAACTCTACCTGTTAGACAGATAAGAAACTGAATCTCAGAATGGTAAATTAGACCTCAGAGTACAGCCCAAGGGTATAGCACTTGCCTAGAGGGTAGGAGGCCCTAGGCTTGATTTCCAGCAGCACAGAAAGAAAGGTGCAAGAAAGGAATAGGAAAAAGTTAAATTAATTTTCCAAACTCACATAACTAGCAAGCAGTAACTCTGCCGGGTCTGTTATAAAGCCAGCATTTCTAATCTTTCTTTCTTTCCTTTCCTCTCTTCCCTTCCTTTCACAGTGTTAAGGTAGAATCCAAGGCCTGTGACTGCCGGGAACACCTTGTACCACAGAGCTGCATCCCAGCCTCCCTAATCATTTTTATCTTGAGCAAGAGAACCCTGTGCTCAATCCCAGCTTGGTGAGCAGCATCTGTAAAACACTTCCTGTGTACCAGGTTCTGTGCTAGGCATTGATTCAGTCCTTTCTCCTGTGCTGTTTTCCTACTCAAAAAGTATTTTCTTTGTAAAAACTTCTTTCCTTCTGGTTGTAAAAATAAACCATGCTCATTGTAAGCTATCCATAGGACAGTTCAAAATGAGAGAAAATGAAAATTCTCAAAATGTCATCATCCAGAGATAACCACTATTAACATTTTGATCTTTCTTCCAGTCTTGTTTGTAACCATATAAGTATGTGTTTTTTCCAAAGTATACAAGAGATCAAATTAACTCTACAACTTGATATCTTTTTCTCCCTGTGTAGCCCAGGCTGACCTTGAGCGCTCAGTAATCCTCCTGCCTCAGTCTATTTAGTGCTGGGATTAAGGTGTGCATCACCACACTAGGCAACATTTTTCTCTTTCCATTCAGAGGCAGACGAAGGGCAGAGCTGTGGCTGCACAGGTGCAGCACCATTTACCTAAATTTTGCTGCTGGACACTAGGCCCCTTCCTACTATAAAATACTGTGGTGAGTGACATTCTCACTTGAGTATCTTGAGAGACCCATTATGACCCCTGGGACAGCCTCTGCCTACCGCATGGGCTGCACCTGTGGGGTTGTCCTCTGCCCGGGCTCCATCCACATTGTCCAGGAACTCTGGGGTGCTCATCCTCATCACTGCTGTCTGTGGGGACAGACACAAGCTGGAGCCTCAGTTTGCCACCAAGGAAAGCACTGTGCTGGGCCTGAGGCCCTGCCTCTGACCCTCTGTGTCACTTCCTGGCTCTGTCGGCTCCCTGTCTACCCTGTGCTTCCTTTGCTGCCATGCTCAAGACCTGGGATGTCCATGAGAATGAAAACAAGGCCCAGAGTACTGGATGGTAGGTTGGTTTGTGTCCTCAAAGTGCAGATAGTGTCCTTTCTGCACTTGTGTCCCCTGCCCTGCCTCCAAACAGAGCTCCCCATCTCCCTCCTGAGGTTATAGGCACTGTCACACCTCCCGCTGCCCTACCCTTAGCTCTGTCTGCTTGAGACCTAGGGAACCCCAGGCCTGTGGCCTTGTGACAGGGATCTCTCTGCCATGAGACCATGAGGTCATGGCTGAGTCCCCCATGTCTCAAGGACTCAAGTACAGCTAGCATGGAGCAGGCATTCAATGGATCAAGACTTAAAAGATGCAGGCCACTTGTGCTCAGGGACAGCTGAGGATGGGGAGAACTCAGGCCCAGGGCTTGTGGCTCCAGGACAGGGTAGGGGTAGGGGAGGCTCCCTTCCCTCCAGGACTCTGAGAAGTTCTCCCTGACTCAGCTTAGAGCCTCTGGGCAAGTGGGGATCTCAGACCAATTACAGGTACCCTGAAGAATTTGAAGAAACCAACTCAGTGGTGTTTAAAGACCAGTGCATGCTATGTCTCAAAGGGAGCCAGAGGAAGAGATATAGGACACAAGTGTCCCAGGTAGCTTTGAGGGGGTGGGAGGAGTGGGAAGGGTGGAGGGGTGGGAGGGAGAGGGTTGGTTCTAGGATCTGCCATGGAGGTTCCTGTCCTTAGAACAGTGTACTAGGGCTGCAGAGATAGCTCAGCAGTCTAAGTGCCTGCCTAGGCAAGCACAAGGACCGAGATTTGATCCCTGGTACTGCATGTTGTGCCAGCCCCACCCTGGGCATGCCAAGCCAGCCACCAAAACTGGCTGTGATGGCACACACCTATAATCCCAATGCTGGGGAGGTTGAAACAGAAATATCACTATAAGTCCAAGCTGCATAGTAAGACCCTATACCAAAAATACACAGATTTTTTAAAACAACAGTGTACTAACTGCACAGAACCTACACAATCCCTCACATACTTAAGCCATCTCTAGATTACTTACAGTGTTTGTTTTTGCAATTGTTATTTTTTTTCTGTATGTTAGGGAAGGGTCTAGAGGGAGTTCAAGGTCTCACTACTAGACTGGACTCATAGTGATTCTCCTGTTTACAGCCTCCCAAGTGCTGGGATTACAGGCATGCACCACCACGCCGAGTCTCAATCACTGGCTCAGGGCACCCTGGGAGAGGGGCCTGCATGGCAGGCCTGGGGATTGAACCCCTGGCCCCTGCACCTAGTTGCAGCTCTTTAATCCACTGAGCTATTTGGCCAGCCCTGTTATGGTTATTTTTTTGAGATAGAATTTCACTATGTAGCCTAGGCTGGCTTAGAATTTGAAGCCATCCTCTCGCCTCAGCCACCTGAATGCTGGGAGCATGTGTTTGCCACCATCTCAGACTGGAGCCCAGGACACACACCAGGCCACAGGGCAGGCCTGGGGTGGAGAAGGCCTGGGGTGGGATTTATTCAAAACAAAACATAGCAACCCTTCTGCCACACCACACTCTGCAGTAAAACCTTCAGAGGAAGATGGTATGAATGCAATAAACACAGGAAACAGGGAGAGTTTAACAATGAGTTAATTTTAGCTTTTACTAGTGCTAGGTGCTGAGACTTTTTATCCAGATAAAGATTTTTCTTCGCCAGTTTACCTACAATCCTAACAGTGGGAGGCTGAGGCAAGAGAGTTGCCAATTTGAGGCCAGCCCAGCAAT